GCGCCTCGTCAACCGAGTTGCCAATCTGCGGGAAAAATGTAGCCTGCAATTTTGATCTGAAACAAAAAAACCAAAATGATTATTAATTTTCATATATTTTTATTCTATGTGAACCAACAACATGGTTAAAAAACCGTAAAATACAAAACTTTTTAGCACTTGAACAAAAAAATGATATTTTTGAGAAAAAATTTCCTCCGTTTTTATGCAATAACAATTATTTAAATTAATGTTTTTACCAATGTTTGAGGTTCACATAGAATGGTTGTTCATTCTCTAGCTAACGCACTTTGAATCAAGTCGATTGATCAATTAGTTTTTTCTCTATCTTTCCCGCAGATTTTAAGAAAGTACGAAAATGATATTTCGAGAAAAACGCGTTTAAAGTTTGTGGTACAAAAAAATATCATTTATTGGAGACTTACCGCAATCTTATGCTAATCAGCTATACCAGGGCCATACTGCAAGCCTTCAGCTTCTTCATAAAACTCGTTTCGTTGCATTTGCTCCAGTCCACGAACTGTGCGAGCTTCCTTGGTCGTGCTGCTTCGGCGCCGCTCCCCTCTCGTAACTCGCTGCGCATCGTAATTATCAGCGAACATTTTGCATTGCTGGCCGATATTGATTTCTAATAACTGCATTGTTAATAAAATGGCAGTGTAGCCTTCATTAAAGATGCCAGTAGCCAAATATGCAACGATTTGAACAATTTTAAAGCCCGAATTGAGGTGTTTGGGAGCGATACGCCACACAGTCAAATTGAAGGATTCGTTGGAATTTTGTATGTACCCGCCTAATCATCTAGTCAAAAGATCTTCATTGGAAAGATCTTCATAGATCTAAGTAAGGTGTTTCTCAATATCAGGCTTTATAATTGGAGCAGGATGTTTATAGTTTACGAGTTGACCGGCAGCTTCAGCTTTGCGCCACTCGCACCAACTGTCGGCGTCTGCGGGGCAATTTCCATGTTTCGGCCCTTTATCGGTCGAGCAATAGTGGTAGAGTGTTGCCATTATGCTTTTTTTCATATCACCCACAGAATCTACATTTCGTCTTATGGCTAAACTTTATGGTAGTAAGTGGTTAATTTTTTTATGACGAAATCGGTCAATTCCCCTTGCTGCCAAGCTTCTCCTTTTTTTATATTTCGAAGCCGCATCCCCATCCGCTTCTGAACGTGTCCGACGCACTCACTTTTTTTTAAGGGGCAATCTTCGCCATACGGATTCAAAGTCAAAATGGACTTATAAGTTTTTTTTTCTATGATTCTATAATAATGTAATGGATTCACAATAATATTATCAGTACTCGCTGTACTTAATTTTTTCACACTGATACTCTCGTCTAAATTATCACTTTCATTCTTGGAATGCTGGTTGCCACGAAATCTTCTTTTCGGCGGTTTTGAAATGCGCTGCGAAGTACTTCTTGAGCCTTTTGATACATATTTAAAACTATCTGTTTGGGATTCGACCGATCGGCGTGTTCGAGCGGTGATTATTATAAGTTCAATGTTTCTGTTTCGCGACCGCTCGGCACGTGACCCGTTCGTGCTCGCATGTTTTGCTGTCAGTCACAACCCTTTCGCGTGATTTCTTGTTGCCGCGGATCATCCGATGTCGGGCAGCCAATCAAAAATTCGTGCGTGTCGCTTAACCGCCGTAATCTTCGTACAGGATTTCGGTGATCTGGCTTTCGCAATTTTTCGTCTGTAGAGTGTCGCATACTAATAGCTGATCATCGCATTCAGGTTCTTTTCTTTTCTCTGTTATATTGTCGCGTACGCCTGCTGCAGTAGAATAGCTAGGCCGGTTTTAACCCAGGAGTGTTGAGGGGGACGCGGGGAAGCGGGGAACTCAGGGCGCGGGGTATGATGTCGCGCGGGGAAGGGGAAGTCATGGTGGGACGTCACGCATACGTCACGAGAAAAAAAAATGTGGTGGGACGTTACGCAAGATGGTGACCGTGATGTCATGCATACGTCACGAGAAAAAATGTCATATAATGTGTTTTAAATGTCCCCTCGTAATTATCAAACTGAAATAATATATAGGGAACTGAAATTATATACGGTGTTTATATAAAATAACTAGTATGTTTTGACCGAAGTAGTTACATATCGAACATCTCTCCAACGTCTCTCGAATGTCTATTGAACGTCTCACGAACGTCTATCGAACGTCTATCAAACATCTATAGGTATTTTTATCAATATAATTAACATAATTAACATATAAAATCCTAAGAAAGGGGATAAGGGGAAGTTGGAAGAAAGGATCTGGTCTAAAGTAAAAAAGATGTATCATAATATATAACAAAGTAATTTATTTATACTTTTATTACAATTTATAAACGCTGCAATATAATGGTGTTGTGTATTACAATATCACATTTTGACCAAAATATTTTTGTCAGCCGTCGACCTTCCAGACTGCTGATACCAAATCGTAGGTCTACAAGTACTATTGTGGTATCAGATAAAGAAAGGTATGCATATCTTATCATAGGATGCATCCTGTGAAGCACTTAGTGCTGCATCATGTAAAGATATGACTATTTTGGATAGGTTTTTCCGGGAGTTACCTATCGAAGATTGTTTAAAATGAGGGACTAGACTATAGAAGCGAACGAGCGAAGATGCTACCTACGCCCCCCCCCCAGCATCAGTCGCTTATTGTGGTCCGTGTTTGCGTAATATCGAAGAAAGTATTGAAGGTGTCGTCGCTGATTCTTCAAATAATAACGAGAAGAGCGGCAAAAGTGAAGCATATAGATTTAATTTTGTGTGTATTTACCAGTCAGAGCTCTTTCAGTATGGATCGTGAAAACATAGAGCATGAAGAAGACGAAGAAATAGAAAACGAAGAAATAGAAGACGAAGAAGATATAAATCATATACTTACGGATGATAGTAATTATGATAGTGACAATAGTAATCAATTAGTGAATGAAAAAGTGAAGAAATTGGAAGTTTCAGAAATTAATACTTTGAATGGCCAAACAAAAGTGTGTTGCATTTATTTTTCATATAATTCTGGAGATAATTTACAGTTCTGCACATCATGTTTTGTTGATGGTGTCCGCGATACAGTTACAGAAATATTTGCAGTGCGCAAACACATCACCGAAAACATGATGTGATTGATGGTGTATTTTATTCAAACTGTAGAAACCCCGTCTACCAAATAACACCATGCAATCTGTGTCCAATATGTACGCACTAATATGACATATTTAAAACAGAATTCTTATATACGGTATAAAAACTTCATCCAATACACTATACAAGATAAAAAGAAGCAGGAAGAATGTGATAACGATATGTGTGCGTGCGTGCGTATGCGCATGTGGAAGACAGAAGAGTTATAAAAAAGTTCAAAGCAAAACATTCTATAGTTTAGTCGAAGACGAACAGAATGGACGCCAGACTGCTGATACCAAATCATAAGTCTATAAGCCTATTATTGTATCAGATAAAGAAAGGCATGCACTTAGGCAAAGTCCACAACGAGTCGATATGAGTTTAAGACCCAGGAATGTGTTTAATAGTTCGTCGAGGAAGTTTCCTCGAATTTTGATAATGGCATGTATTTTTGAAAGAGTTAAGGGCTATAAAATGTTCAAAGCAGAATATTCTATAGTTTAGTCGAAGACGAGCAGAGCGCAGTTACAGTGTGTTTACAACGTTTGCTAGAAAAATGGCAGAATCATCATTATCATCATTATCAACCGTAGAACGCGAGCTGCAAAATCAGGTCGCTCGATTAGGCTCGCTAGACGAATACCTCGCATGGGAACAAAAGTGCGACGAGTGTCTCGAGTCGTTGGAACAGCATAGCCGAGCCAAACAACCACGATTATCGGTTGGTTCAGCGCATTCGATGGTTGCTCGTATAGCGCAACTTGAGGGTTTAAAAAATACTTTGCGCAGACGTTTTGTATACACAGGAGCCGGACATTCGACACTTGTTTGGCGAGAAATCGATACAGCGTTCAATAGTCGCATATGAACCGGAGCGATTGTAAATATCGACCCTCTTCGATTTCTCCAAGATGTGAAGAATATCGTGCTCGAGCATGTGCGAAGCGTTATGAAGAGACACGGTAGCGTAAAAGTGAATACTGTGTTCAACGGTGAATTTGTGGCAGGTGATAAACGCGCGAACAAGAGCATTAATATGAGGAACGTTGAACTTTTTTTTACATCCGATCTAGACAATTGGTTCGCGATTCGTGTTATCGAACCCACCTTAGCGTCCATGGAAGAATTTCAGGAACGAGATAGCGGGTGGGCACTCTCGCGCATACTCAATCTGACCGTTAATGTTAACAAGTACAATCCATTACATTCGGGATGTCATATCGAGTTACCGCGCGAAATAAAAATGAAGCGGGCTATAATCAACGTGCAATCTATGGATAATGCATGTTTCGCATGGGCAGTGGTTGCAATGTTATGTCCAGCCGACAAACACGCAGATCGTCAATCTTCGTACCCACACTATACATCGGTTTTGAATATGCAGGACATTGAATTTCTAATGCGCATAAATCAAATTAAAAAGTTTGAACGGTTGAACGATATCTCGGTCAACATTTATGTGGTCAACATTAGTGTGGAGAAGAGATATGACAACGCGACAAAGAAAGAAGGAAACGTGTTCACCCATACGTCTCACGGAACAGAAAATGGAGAAGCATGTCAACCTGCTGCATATCCCAGATCCGCGAGATGATGATAACGCTGGGCACTTCGCGTGGATCAAGAATTTGTCCTGACTCGTCAGCTCACAACTGAGCAAAAAGGAACACAAAAAACATATTTGCGACCGGTAAGTATATACAAAGAACGCAATGTATAATGTGACATATACTAATAACAAATAATGTTTTTCCAGATGTCTACATTACTTCAGCTCGAGCGAGAAGCTGGAGAACCATACCGTCGACTGTCAAAAAATGAATAACTGTGTCATCATCTTGCCAAACGATGACAACAAATGGCTCAGCTTCATCAACTACTGCAGAAAGGAGCGGATCCCGTTATAGTTTACGTCGACTTGGAATGCATCCTGGAGAAGACATCGAGGTAAGAACAAACGAGTTCGTATGCGTATCAACATCATAGCATATTTAGTATAGCATATTACGTGCGATGTTCCTACGACGAGTCATTATCCGCGTATCGATGTCGTCGCGATCAGGATTGCATCTCATGGTTTGTCAAAGAACTTGAAGAACTGGCACATCGTGTAAAGGATATTTTGTTCACAAATGTCCCTATGGAAACTTTGTCGAAAGAACAGCGGGAGACATTTCAAAACGCTATGCTGTGCCATGTGTGCGAGAAATCATTCGCAAAGGATGATACACGCGTGCCCGATCATTGCCACCTGACTGGACGGTACAGAGGTCCCGCGCATTCCAATTGCAATCTAAATTATCAAGACAGTTATTGCATTCCCGTGGTCTTTCACAACTTATCCGGTTATAATTCACACCTTATCATCAAAGATATAGCAACCGCGTTCGAAGGTTCAATCACTGTACTACCGATAACCAAAGAGAAATATATTTCATTTACAAAGACTGTAGGAAACATGACGGATAGTAAGAATAAATGGAAAAATTGTATACAATTGCGGTTCATCGATTCGTACAAATTTCTCAGTAGTAATCTCGATAAATTGGCGTCTTTTCTCGACAACGACAAATTAAAAATTGTTCGGTCCAAATTTTCAAATTTGTCCGACAAGGATTTTGATTTATTGACGCGAAAGGGGGTCTTTCCGTACGAATACCTTGATTGCGCGGACAAGCTGCAGGATCGGTGTTTACCGCCGCGCGAGTAATTTTACAGTTCGTTGACGGGTGACACGGTATCTGAGAGCGATTACGCGCACGCCGCGAACATCTGGCAACGGTTCGCCATTCAAACCTTAGGTGAATATAGCGACTTGTATCTGAAGATTGATGTCTTGTTGCTGGCCGATATTTTTGAAAATTTCCGCAATAGTTGTATCAAAAGTTATGGGTTAAATCCCGCGTATTATTACACTTTGCCTGGTTTTACGTGGGATGCTATGTTGAAGCATACAGGCGTTAATTTCGAACTGCTCACTGATATCGATATGGTCATGTTCATCGAGCGCGGTATTCGCGGTATTCGCCTCAGTCAATGTTCCGGTAGATATGCAAAAGCCAATAATAAGTACATGCAGTCTTACGATCCATTGCAGCCATCATCATACTTGATGTACTTCGATGTAAATAACTTGTACGATTGGGCAATGTGTCAACAGTTGCCATACGCTGAATTTCGATGGGTCGATGATGTATCGAATTTCGACGTATCATCAATCGCACTAGATTCACCTATAGGTTACATTCTTGACTTAGAGTATCCACAACGTCTGCACGACGCGCACACTGACCTACCGTTCTGTCCGACGCGGGGCAAACCGCCAAACAAAAAGCAGGACAAGCTTCTCGCAACCTTATGCGATAAGCAGCGTTATGTAATTCATTATCGCAACCTGCAGCAGTGCACGCGTCACGGTCTTCGTATTGGAAAGATACACCGCATACTCAAATTTGCTCAATCCCCATGGCTCCGCGATTATATCGACCTTAATACACAATTTAGAACACGCGCGACAAACGATTTCGAGAAAAATTTGTGCAAATTGATGAACAACGCGGTGTTCGGTAAAACCATGAAAAACGTTCGCAATCACGTAGATGTAAAACTATTGACAAAATGGGAGGGACGATACGGTGCTGAGGCAATGATCGCGAGACCAAATGTTCATAGCAGAAGTGTCTTTTCGGAAAATTTAATCGCCGTTGAGCTACGTAAACTCGAAGTGAAACTCAACAAGCCGATCTATGTGGGTATGTGTATCCTTGACATATCCAAGATCTGCTTGTACGAATTTCATCACGAGTACATGTCTCCTCTATATCAGAACAGATGTAAAGTAATGTACACCGATACTGACAGTTTAATCTACCATATCCAATGCGATGATATTTTCGAACACATGAAACGTGATATTTCTAAGTTTGATACGAGTGATTATCCCGCTGATAACGCGTATGGTATACCGCTTGCCAACAAAAAGGTGCCAGGTCTGATGAAAGATGAAAATAACGGAGCGATTATGACGGAATTCGTCGGGCTCAGAGCAAAGATGTACGCGCTAAAGGTAGACAGCAAAAATGACACGAAGAAGGCGAAAGGTGTGAAGACCAATGTTGTAGCGCGAACTATAACGTTTGATGATTATATGCAGTGTCTGAGAGACGAGGTCGAAAAGCAACGTCATCAGTCATGCATACGATCCGAAATGCACAAAGTCTACACCGTGTCCGAACTGAAAACTGCTCTGAGTCCGTATGATGACAAGCGGTATATCGTACCAGACTCAACAGACACTTTACCATGGGGACATTACAGGATACAATTGTAAACTAAAAAGCGATCATTGTGCATACATGTATATTGTAAAATGAAAAGCGATCATTGTATATATATTTGTTTGTAAGAAATATTGTTAACTATAATAAAAGATGGTTTATTACAAGCTGTTTATAATAGGATATTGTAATAAAAAGAATTGGTTTATAACAAAGAATTGGTTACAATACATTTTCTTTGTGTATCCAAGAGTTGTGCGAATCGTCAAATCCCAACCATTTCACTAAAACCTTGTCGCCGCTTTTTCGCAACACCTTTTCCACGAGATAAACGTCAGGATTAGCAGCGCGATGCAGTTCGTATTCGTAAAATCCTCCGGCAATAGACTTTCCGCGAGAATCCTTAAGCAGATAGGTCGCTGGATTAGTTGTCTGCACTTTGACGATTTTAAACACTTCGGTTGTCCAATTCGGTGTATAGCCTTTTTCAAAGATGGTTTTGAATTTGCTCACGCGTACCAGATCACCCACTTTGAATTTTGCAGGCGCAGTGATCTTTACGTTGTTGTAGACTGTGTGTAGGAGCTTATCGGTGATCTCGGGTGTCACATCGATAGGACGCATGCCGATAGTTCGATGTTTCCGTGTGTTGTACTCCGCGATAAGGCGCGGTAACGAGTCGATCCATTTGTATGTTCCATTCAACGTAAACATTTTCCACATGTCGTTCTTTAACGTGCGGTTGAATCGTTCTACAACAGATACCTTCATTACCGAGTACGTAGAATAATGATTGATACCGTGTTTTTTAAGGAGTTTCTGCAGATCCGCATTATAAAATTCTTTTCCCTGGTCCGTTTGCAAATTTTTCGGACATCTTCCAGATTCTTGAAATATCCTGGCGAATATTGCCACTGCTTCTTTACCGCTCTTGCTCTTCATCGGTACAGCCCACGCATATTTGCTCAACACATCGATAATAGTGAGTATATAGTGGTAGCCTCTATTGAATCGCGAGTAAGGACGCATCTCTACCAAGTCAGCTTGCCAAAGATCATCGTATCCGCGCACTATGACGCGTCTACGGGGAAAATATCTTCTCGCTGGAGCGTGCATCTCCTCCACCAACCGATGCTTTTCGTTACCGATGAGCTGCTTCTCTGAACTTTTCTTCTTTTTGTTAAATTTTGATGATTGCTTCGCCATTGCAGCTTGTGATGATCCGTCTCTCGCTATGTTGATACTATATGTCAATTTAACTGTAATATTCTACTTTTAAATTTCCTCTGATTTCTTTATCTCTGAGCGTGTCCAGTCTAAAATTTGGTCTATGTTCTCATGAATGCTATTTATGCTCTGTATGTTTTTTTCCGGTAATCTTCCAGCCAATCCTTCAATCTTTTAACATTCTCATCTACATACTGCTTCGTCTCAACGTTACTCTCATGCAGTAGAAGCTTTACAGCATTTATATTCTCGTACATTCATTTCCCAGAAAAATGCTTTGAGAAACAGAATGGTATTGATATAGTAGTCTATCTCTTCATTCTAAGTAAATATAAAAACTATATTTTATCATTTTGAAAAAGATAAATAGTTGTAGACCTTTTACGTCTGCGCATCACCATCCCCACTACTTTTTCTATTCTCTACGGGGAAAGGCATACGGTGCTGAGACTGATGAAGCATTCGAGCTTCGTTGCTTCTACTCGCAGCATAGCTAGTTCTCGTTATTTACAAGTTCTTTATAAGTTATTTACAAGTTCTTGCAAGAAAAATGTTCGCCGCTAACGTGAACGTCGATCTTAAGAAGACGTCGAACAGCCTCTCTACAGAAGTGAGAAACGAGCGTAACATGCTTCTATGCACGACTTACGCTCTCAACAATTCGGACACTAAGAGGATGCAAGTTGGGTTGCGTACCATGTACGACATGGGACCATTTGAGCCATCGATCAGGATAATGGGAAACACGTCTTCAGGAATTCTCCTTGATTTGAATACGTGGGAGAAATTTAAAGACATTATACCCTCTGCAAATTCTTATTTGTGCGGGGAAAATAAGAATATGCCAGCCCCTATCATCATCGACAATATCGCCATCAGCTTTACCTCAGCGTACGGTGCACGGGTTATAATGATGAGCCAGCGAGAGAAAATGGTGGACGAAAACGAGTCTGCAAAGAAGGCATCGGAGGACTCTACACATTTTAAGCAGCCGCCGTTGAAGAAGCGTAAGCTATACATGGAGAATATTGTAATGCAGAAGACTTCTTTCGATGGTCTGGAAACTGTCGCGAAATGTATCGATGCTATTAGGTTGTTCGGAAAGTTCGTTTCAAATTTCGCGCGCTCCACATTTCTATGTAATCAATAAGAACGAGGGCACTCTAAACGATTTTATGTTTGTCAACAAACATTCCCGGATCTATGAGCCCGCTAAGGAAACTTCGCAGATCTTCCTAAGTGCAACTATTTCGTCAGAAATCAGTTTGAAAAATGGAGAACCAAAAAGTCCATTTTCGTCATGTGATGCTATATTGCTTTGAACGTGGCTTCACGGCTTCGCAGACCCTGAATGAGATGTTCTCAGTATATGGAGATGCCTGCGTCACTCACCAGACAGTTCGAAAATGGTATCGAAGATTCGAAGCTGGCGATTTCAACATGGAAGATCAAGCTCGCTCAGGCCGGCCTCAGGAGGTTGATGAAACGCTTCTTATGGATCTCGTGCACAAAAATCCTCGAGTGACAGTTAGAGAACTCGCCGACACTCTGCACAAGTCTGTTTCCACCGTGCATGACCATTTGAAGAAGCTAGGATTCTCAAGTCGACTGGATGTGTGGGTGCCACACGAAATGAATGAACGGCAGTTGCTGGAACGTGTGAACGTCTGCGATATGCTGCTTCAACGGCACCAAAAAGAACCGTTCTTGAAGAGGATCATAACAGGCGATGAAAGTTGGATCCTATACAATTATGTTAGCCGCAAGAGGTCGTGGGGAACCAGCAACGCGTCTACGCAAACAGTGGCCAAGCCGGGGCTTCACGCGAAAAAGGTTCTTCTGAGTATCTGGTGGGATTTTAAGGGCGTGGTATATTATGAGCTTCTTCAATCAAACGAAACCATCAACGCGGCGAAGTACAGCCTTCAACTGGACGAACTGAAGACTGCCACGGAAGCGCCCTGAATTGGCCAACAGGCGTGGAATTGTTTTCCATCATGATAACATCAGACCTCACGTTGCAATGTCTATCCGTAGGATAGCTGTAGGAAGCTGTAGGAAGCCGTAGGAAGCTGTTAGACTTCGAATGGAACGTTCTTCCTCATCCTCCATATTCTCCCGACCTTGCCCCATCTGACTACTATCTATTTCTTTCTTTAAAAAATTTTCTTCGGGACAAGAAATTCGAGTCTTTGAAAGTCCTCAAAAGTCATCTGGATAAATTCTTCGCCAATAAGAAACCTTTATTTTGGAGCAAAGGCATTATGCAGCTTCTTGAAAGATGGGCCAAGGTCGTTGAACAAAACGGTAAATATTTGCTTCAATAAAGTTCCTCTTTGTGTAAAATATTGCGCTCTTAATTTATTTCAAAAATTTGAAACGAACTTTCCGAACAACCTAATACAAAAGAGGATAGCCACTCTTTGCCAGCAACGTGGACGGAATCAAGCCTTAAAAATAGCAGATATTTTTGCATGTTTTATTATGATCACGTTTAATGAAGTCTAAAAAATAGGAGATATTTGCATGTCTTATTGTTATAACGCTAAAATCAGTAAAGGAAACTATTTTCATACATGCGATAGTATGCATTATGCAGAAGAAGTGACATGAAAGCGTGTCAATAAATTTGAAAAATGCAAGGTTGCAAGTCCACATTACTGCTCGATGGAAACCGCGGGAAGGTGGTGGTTTCTTCCATCAGGAGGAAATGTAAAACAATTATCTAATAAGACTCTTTTAATAGAGAAACATTAGATAATGTTCTACATTTCCTAAGGAATTAGGGAAGGAGTGAAGGAAAAAATGCGAAAGCAATAATTAAAGCAATTGCATGCAAGCGTTCAGCAAACAGTAACAACTAACATTAAAATAACTATGAGAACAATAATCTATAAAGATGTAAACAAAACAATTACTGTCGTATTTACAGTTGCCAGAAAGCATGCATGTGCAACTTGTTCTTATGAAATGTGTAGTACGTAGTGAAAAGCAAGATGTAACGCATACATCTCTTTTTCCCTGCCAAAGTTGCTTGTACGTATTGCATGTAATGTGAGTAATAACAAAATCCAAACCTCTGCGTAGAATCGGAGCGCGAATGCTTCACAGGCAAACTTTGGTCAATACATATGAGGATATTTAACAGGGTTTGTCCAGACGACGTTGTCTTGCGTCACAGTTCCTGACTGTTCAGTCACAGTTCAGTGACTGAACTAGGACTGAACTTCGTTAGGAAATTGCCAGTATGTTACTTTCGCTCCGGGCGACGTACCGGCACGTTATATTTTCGCCTTATATTTATTTCATATTTTTTCAAAAATCGTCGCTGCCGTAAAAAAGTCTATGTTGCATGTTTTCTGATTGTAACATACTTGTGTCATTATATGTAGAATAAAATTGTGAATATACTATACATATAGTATATTGATGTAAATATCTTGATTTGATAAGAAAATTTACATAGGGGATCTTTTCACGGCAGCGATGATATATCATAATCGCGCTCACGATTCAGATCCACGCCGAGAAAGCCAAAATACGCTCGGACGCGCGTTAACGCAGTTGAGTCGAGGCGAGAAGGACCGAGAAGGAGCGAAGATCATTCTCTTTCTTTTTCTCATTCTCTCTTTCTCTATCTCATTCTCTTTCTCTTTCTTGCTCGGCGAGGCTGGCGTGAGGCGACGAGGCTTCACATCGATAGGCGGAGCAGCAGCGTTGTGTGCGTGAAGGCGCATGGACGGGACGCTTCCCCTCGCACGCTGTGGTGTGCGCGGGCACATTTTCGCAGCACTGTCTCACATTATAATTCTTATATATTATATTT